AATAGAACATAGGGCTTCACTAGCACGTCTCCATTTCCACTATCTTCTCTGCAATCTCTTCAACCTCGCTCCACAACTGCCCACAAGCTCTCATTTCCTCCTCACACCACCTCCTCCATGTCACCATCACCTCGGACACCCAACTCGTCCTTTCCCATCTGGGTTCCACTCAAGTGCCTGGCCTCACGCGTGATGTCCCCAGTCGGCCTTCTCACTCCATCACCAATCAATCTCCACTTCCTTCCACTGCATATTTCTTGAGTGATCGGTTCTTCGTTGCTTTGTGGCCAGTTAGCCACAGTTCCTTGTTGCTTATTCTTATTATTCTGGCCATCTGATCTCATCTTCAGTATCCAGTTAGTGTAGGCAGCTGTTGATGAATATTTGCAGTTTGTTGGAAATGCCTTTCGTAACCCACCAAGTCTCTCAACCATCACACAGAAGCACTGAGTTACTTGACTGACATTAGTGTTGGAAATCCGGATGTTGTTCATGCTTTATGCTGAGTGCAGCAGATCTCCACACTGGTTTCAAGTTAATGAACGCCTGTCTCGCTTTTCCAATCGTGGCTTTGACGTCCTCATCTGTGCCTGTGCCGCCTGTAGTTGAGACGATGCTGCCTAGATAGGTGAAAGAGGCTACTTCCTTTACGTTTCTCCCGTTGATGGTGATTGGAGCTTGTTGTTGTTGTTGTTGGTAGTGGTGTTGGTTAGGTATCATCATCAACTCTGTCTTCTCTATGTTCACTTGAAGTCCCATCTTTGCTACCCTGCCTCTTCTGCCAACTTGTTACTTTTCGCCTGTAGATCTTCAAGTTTGTGTGACATTCGACACAAGTCATCGGCAAAATCTAGATCTTCTGGGTTCTTTCCCGCAGTCCAGCCAGCTTATCCCCTCTTCCCACAGCTCCTCACTGTTTGTTGCATAATCCAGTCGACCACAAACAGGAATATCATGGGTGATAGTAGACAGCCTTGTTTCGCTCCTGTCTTCACTTCAAAAGCGTCATTGAGCTTCCCATTGTGAATTACTTGGCTGGTATGTGACATCTTCATATAGTTGTCGAATGAGGCTGATAAAAGTTTGCGGTATTCCATAGTAATGAAATAGTTTCCAAATTACTTCTCGGTCGACTCCGTCAAACGCCTTCTCAAAGTCAATAAAGTTGGGGTAGAGAGTTGACTGCCATTCTGAACTCTGTTCTATGATGATGCGAAGCGTTGCAATTTGGTCCGCACATGATTTGCAATTCCTGAAGCCTGCCTGTTCCGGTGGTAGTTTTGAATCCAGTGCATCCTTTAGTCTCTCCAGGATGATGAGGCTTAATATTTTGCTTGCTTTGGGTGGACAAGAGCGTGATTTCCCGCCAGTTCTTGAAAACACTGAGGTCTCCCTTCTTCGGGAGTTTGACAAGGTAACCCTTCTTCCAATCACTAGCCAGGTACCTTCTCTTCCTTCCACACCTTCTGCAATAGTGGTGTGAGCATGTCCGCTGTTGTCGCTGCGTTTGTTTTCAGTGCTTCTGGTGGGATCCCATCTGGTCCTGCTGCTTTCCCACATTTCAGTAGCTTTATGGCGTTCAGGACTTCCATTTTTGTTGGAGGATTTATGTTCACTTGTAGTTCTGTGACTGGGTTGTAGGTGGTATTTCTGGACGAAGTGCAGGTGGTGGTCGATGGCAGCTGCATATAGGCAACAATTTATGAAATGGCTGAATTCTTTAGTTAAACGAATTAACAGATAAAATGATTTGCGCTGTCTTCTAGTACAGAAGTGAGATTTTTTTCTGAACAGCTACTGCTGCTCTTCATCATTCACAAATGTTCGATATCTATTAGGCTCGCCTCAATCAAATAATGTATTATGATAGTGATTCCCCTCGTTCGACAACCAATGAAAAAGTACTCCTTACTGCATAAGATCTCGGACACAATTTATTTTACATAGATGTATCAAGTTAGCTCCACAACTTTCACACATGGCTTATGTGTACATCGACTGGTCACTCAAGGCTAACCAATTTCATGTTGCCTAGTCCTATGTGCTAATCGAATTCAACCGATCATTTTACTATGTAGTAACCAGGTTAGGAGACTAACCATCACGACGAACTGGTATAGATTTTAGTTGGATGGAGGCAATCGGCCGAAAGCCCTGAACCTAAGATTCGTGCTTTTGGCAGTCATCATCAAGGGGCATCCGCAACCTCAACGGAGCTAGTGTCCCGCCTGAGATTCCAACCCGCATCACCCAGTGCTGAAGTGTGAGACGCTACGTTAAGATCATTGCAATGATTGACAGAATCCAATCAGCACATAGAAAGAGACTACATGAAGTCGATTAGCCTCGAATAACCAATCAATGTATGTAATCCAGTCCTATAGATCAATTACTGCCCAAATAGCTCGGTGGTAACGTCTCTGACTAGAGCACTGAGCGACGGGGGACACCAGTTCCGTTGAGGTTGCAGACATGCCTTCCTGACAAGTGCTACAAAGCGTGAACCTCACTTTCAGAGCTTCCTGTCGATTACCTCCACCCAACTAACATGGTCTACATATTTCCAATTCTTGACTTATATATACTGAGATTCAGAATAACAGCTGGTTTAATTTGGATAGATATTTATGCAATAATTACATTTGCTGCATACACATTTCCAATGACTGTTTTTCTGAGCCGTTTTGTGAGGTGTAGAATACCTGGCTGGGGCCCTCAAAACGATAGGAATCAGTGGCTGAGGAATCTTGAAATGGCTGAAAATCCATCACTCACAATAGCGTAGATGTATTCACACCTTGACACCTTCTAAAGCTTGAATATTTCCCTTAAACGTCATCTTAAAACTGTTTATTCCCTCATACAACTTCGTCTACTTTAATATTACTGTGTTTTTTTTATCCACCTGTCTTTGTATACTACTGTGAATCAGTGTACACTTGTACTAGGTTCTACGTTGATTTTTTGTCTGTCATTTTCAATATTCTTGTTTGAGTCATTTACATTCTGAAAAGAAAATAATCACGTTAGCTGGGAAATGTGATTGTCAGACTGACGTGTTACTTCATAGTTTGTTGCTAACTCCAAGATTTTTTATTTGGCGAATTGTTTGGCTACAATTTCGGCCAATCATATTTCTTAACGCATATAACATACATACTAGGTGATATGAAACTGCATTTGAATCGATAATCAAAACAGACATTCCATTCGTTCAAAAAAGGCACTCCTTTAAAACAAAATAGTTACCATCAGCTAACAGTATCTTGGAATTCAGAAGTGACATCATCATCGAGGTAAAGTACTTCTTCAGCTGTAAAGGTCTGGAAGTCAATACTGCCACTTCACGAGTCTATACTGCTAACCAGACCAGGGTGATTTATATATACACTGGAGGGCAGATTCACTGGATTGGAGTTGCGTTTATCTTATGTGTAGCCACAGACATTCAGATTATCAAGGAGTTGAATTGCTCAGATCATTTAAATCCTGCTATCTAACTTGGATGGTCTGGTATATCATGGTTTTTAACAGCCTATAGTGATCAGTAGCAAACCCCTTTATTTCATAACACTTTTGTGACACAGATCATGGTTTCTGACGGAAATCCTTTTGACCCTAAAGTTGGAAATATCAACATTATCTGTGCAATTTGTAAACTGGTAGTTTGGTTGTCCAGTGGAATACTTAACCTCTTACACATATCTACATATGTTGTTTTTTTAAGAAGGAAGGGTAACTCTTACATTGTTTCACTGGTAGTGCCTAGCACTGGAATTCGAACTCAAATCCAGGATCGTTTCCTTCAAACGCCGGGACCTTGTGCACTTGGTTACTGAGTTACAGGAACCACAGCTTGTGCAGTGAGCATCGGTTGTTACTTATTGATGTATATTATTCCTCGTAGGGTCTCCAAGTGCTTGTAAGGTTAATTCTGAAAACTCACCACAATAGTCAGGTAAGATCAATTTAATAACCACACTCGGATCATGTGTACGTGTCTCAGAGATACAGAGTACACCCATGGTTAGAAATTCCAGGGTTCTGGAGAGCGATACTTACTGTCCGGTTTGGCATGTTGGATGTTGAAAGCTCCTACATGAAATCGATGGCGAGGTCTCAGAAGACTAAGAATGAAGTTTCGGTGGCTTTGATAGTTGGCAGTGGTAGCGAACTCAGAGGTTGCGGAAGGTGTAAGAAGCAGAATATTAGTATCAGGAGGAGACACAGTTGAGGAGGATAGGCAGTGTTTGATTGGGTCTTGTGTACTACTGGAAGTGGATGGGCAGTTGACACCTCGCAACTGCCAAAGAGGAAAAGATTTGTGTGACCGCAGAGCTTATGAGACAACTGTCTGAGGTCTGTCATACACACAGCCTTCTGTGGGTTTTTATTTTGTAATGCGGTTGTTCTGACGCTAGATAGAGAAAACCTATACCTCCGCCACCAGCTGACCATGGAGGAGGAAAGAATATGCAGTTTTTGAAGCCAACCTTTTCCACACCACCCGTCTCCCAGTGGGAAGGCAGAATCACCGTGGTACTTTTAGTCATCCAAGGGAAACACTTTACTGGTGTCACATCCTATCCAGCTAGTAGCAATACGACTTCATCCTCAGACCCTCATCATAGTGTAGGAATTTATGCTACAACGACAACTGCTTTTCGTCTTATCACTTTTCCAACAGAACTTTCTGGTATGGCAGGACATCGAGGGAGCAAGTGTTACAGACAGTTTACCTGTTATTTTCTTCTCCTTCTATTGAAGAAATACCATCAACAGTACAACTTCATTCAAAAACTATTTCATAGGTATTTAAAATCAAGTTTTTACTCTACAAGCAAATATTATATTTAGTATGCAGATAGGGTATTCAAAAAAATCACCAGTAGGAAGATGAGTTGCAGAAACTTTTCAACTGTACTATAGAATTCGTAAGTATTATTCACATATTATTACTACTACCATCCATTGAAAGAGACATTGAAAAACATAACACATTTCATGTGAATACAAACTATATTTTTATTACTTTTTTAAAGTATATAAATTTCATATAGGCATATGTGTATATCAATAGGTATTTCAACTTCTTCATTATCATAATAACATGCTGAATATCTGTTCATTGTTGACCAGATCGATACTAACTCCGTAATGGAGATGAGGTAATTATCCTAATCTAAAAGATACCTGTATACATACATTATATATATATACATACACACATACATTCATAATATGCATACACATACACAATTCAATTGAAATCATACATACACAAACAAAAGTGTACACGCACATATACACACACATACACACATACACGTTTAAACTAGTCAAGATCTTTATAGTAAGGAAGATAAAAAACAAGCTAAATAGAATTGCCAGCATATAGAAGGTAGATAATTCAAACGAAGTAGTAATTAATCAATAATATACAATGGCTTGTGTTTGTTTTTCTTTTTAACATGATGAATAATGATGATAATGAAAGGCAATATGTGAGTGTTCATCTGAAAGAACTATTAATTATCATTATTGTTATTTAGATGATTATTACTGTTATCATTATGTGATAAACGATGATTTGATGTAGAATTAACATTCGATAAACCTTTGCAAACAGTATTATTATTATTATTATTATTATTATGATTATTCCCATTGTTTTGTTTATGTTGATTATCTGATAATGGAGATTCATTTATTGTCTTATCATTTGATGAATCCCTAGTTAGTAAATCAATCAAATGTTGAAGAGGGACAAGTTCACGTTTTTGAACTAAATTGAATTCCTTTAGGAAAAAAAAAACAAAATGTATTACACAATAGATATAATATTTGAATATAAATATTTATCATTATATGAACCATAGAAAAACAAAAATAGTGATGAAAGTATGCTTTAAGAAAAATACTAATTAGGAGATCCTATAATGAATGAATGACTTAAGTGAATAGGCTGGTGGAAACTCCGTGAATACCTCAAGATTTTGAAACAAAAAGACTCAAGGATTGTCGTAAGTTATAACTTGAATTGTAATTTCTTTTGAAGTTAAACCGTTTCACAGAGCATTTAATAATGTCTTATTTAGAGTAGAGTATTCAGTTGCCTATTTCATGCTTCAAAAATGAAACTGGTTCAAATCAGTGACAGGTCTTTCTCATCCTCCTCATGAAGAGTGATTAACAAGACTAAAACTTTTCTCATCATCTTGTCGCATGAAAAGTGATATTATTTTAGCCTTCTACACCTTGAATAATAACTTAGATTACTCCTTCTCAGACTGATCACCTTAGGGACCATCAAAAAAAAGCCATGGAGTATAGGTTTTCTTATACAGTGGTCAGTGACTGGAACTCATTACCGAAACACGGAAGCGGCAGTCCCTTAGATGAATACATTCAGGGAAAAACTAGATCTTTATAGAGATAACTAGTGCAATGATCAATATGGGCTAATAGCCTACTGTCCTTTTCATCGAAGACTAATAATAGTAGTTGTCAGCTGTAGCATCTTTCATCACTGATTATTAAATGACAGATACTAAATAACTAGAGCTGTGGTTGGTCGATTTAAATAGTCTACTTTTAATCAGTTGGTTATGAGCTCAAAGGTAGTAGCGTTTCGTGGTGTCACTACGTAGAGTTATAGGCAGAAGACGTAAGACAGTTGATACGGTTGTGAACCTTCATCAACTGAGATGGATGGGATATGTGTTGTGTATGCCTAGCCACTGTTACCTCGTCACACGATGTTGGCCGAAGGAGGTTATGACCGAGAAAAGGCTCACCACAGCCACACCAAAACATGGCATCAATGCATGAAGTCCTTGACTATTCGCTTGGGCTATGTAGGGCGATGCAGACTAGTCGGTTGGGGTCCACGGGATAAGAGAAATCAGTGGTAATATGGCTCAGAATCGATGTCAGTGACTCAGATGCATACACACAATATCCTCATCTTAACCGCCATACCTAATCTCATCATTTTCTCATTCTTCTTCTTCTCTCTTACTACTTTCTACTTCTACTTCCTTTGGTTGATTTTTCTTTCCTTCTTCATCTGCTATTTTATGGCCTTGTTACTTGATGTCGTGACATAAGGTGTGGCAACTTAGACTGTTACGTAGTAATGGCTGGTCCTATGTTTTTGATGATGATGATAATGACACCAAGTTTCTCGTTATTGACGAATTGGGTAAGCTTGACTACCTTCAGGTAACTGTAAAATAGAACTGCTATTTCCATAACGGCAGACAGTTTAACTACCAGATCTTGTGGTCAGTACCCAAACTGTGTGAAACTAATAGCGTTACAAAAAGCATGGATTAAGATAGAGTTCGAGCCGAAAACCTCGCATCAAAAACGAAAGGGAGATATTCATGGGTGTTTCAAATAGGCCTTGTTACAACATATGGATTGTTAAACATATATCTTGATGTCTAACAGTTCTACACCACAACATTTTGACTGTACCCGAATCTGGTATTCAGTTTCCCCAATCTAAGAGCCGATTCATCATATTGTATTCGCAACCATTTAGAACAGAAGCATCGTAAACTGAGTAAAGGAATGACAGTTGGTCAGTAATGTACGATCTTGGGTTATCAATGGATCCTTATTGGGTGCTATAATCGAATCAGATCAGACATATCTTGCTACACTGTACATATCTATATACCTTTTTCAAATACATTAATATTCAATTTGAACATAGAAAGTTGATAGTCGTTCTGAATTAGCTAGTATCGAAATAATAGTATGAAGATAAGATTAATACACAACAATCAGGTTGACGCTCTTAGACTGCATAGGATGATAGAATTCTGGACTAGATATACAGTGAAGTGATTGAACCAGAGACCCAGCACCTTGTTTAACAACTGGCCCCACTGAAAAATCAGTAGTTAACGCTAATCAAAACACAAACTAGTACAATAATAAAGAAGACTTATATTTTTTGAAGACTAGCAAGTTTTTTTATACTTAAGCACAAAATATAGATAATTGCATGATTCTAGATTTGAGTGACAATGAGAAGATGTTTGATAACATACGCGTGATGACTATGTAGGGAGGTAATGGTGTGTAAAATAGGTTGCGGTCAGCAGAAAACAACATTAGTACATTACCTTTATTATTAGACTGAGAACTGGGATGCCTCCAAAAGCAATGGCAGTTTAAAAAATAATGTCCGAACTTTTGAAATCGATCTCATGTACACTGCCTAAAGGCAATGAATAGATCTTCAACATGAGACACTATCAACAAGCAGTCTTCTATAAGGACTTCTGCAGGGAAGCGGAATTACAACTACTTCTAACCATATTAAGGTTATAGTAATGATGGATGGTGGATATTAGTGAAGTCCAGAACTCGTTAGCTGGATGCACCTGCTTCCCAGTGAAGGATCTATTCCCAATAAAACTCGAACCTGAACCGATCGCTTCAAGCGCCAGAGCGTTATCCACTAGGCGCACATCCTTGCTTCAACTGCTAGCTAATATCCATCATTACTATAAAGTTGAAACGACAGAGAAAATAGAGGTATCCGAGCAGGAGCTCATATGCCAGCAAAGACCGATAGATTCAGTCCAATCAATGACGGGATAATATAAGTAACAAAATTAAAAAAACATTAAGGTTATTATTATAGAAAGTCAGTGGATATAAGTATTGTAAGGCTTTTTTTTAGTGGAAAAAAATGCTTACCAATACAAAGAATATGAAATGTTTAAAACTTGTATTCAGGTGGGCCTCTTCTTGTAGATCACGAACTTCAGAAAAATGCTGGTAATAGATATGTGCATAAACGCGAAATAATCGCTTTAATATAACCTTGACAACATTTAGAAAATCACGAGGAAATGGAGCACCTGGAAGGAAAAAACAAATAGACATAAGGTTGTATTCATCACAGAGTGATATTAGTTGGTGGGCCAATAAAAAACCTGGGAGCACTGGATAGAACTCCCTAGTAGAACACATCTACGACCGCATCAGAGATCAAACTCAGGACCTCGAGGTTTCACCAGCAACGCGTTAACCATTCAGCCACTGAGTCGGAAATATAAACATAAGTGAGAGATTAGATGATGGTCAGTGCTATATCATGAATTAGTAAAATATGAATCTTTGCATTCCAACCTAATGATAACGTATTAGTCTTAAGACCTGACAGTATTGGTCTTTATTCCATACTGAGTTCAAGATATGCCCTGTTCGGGAGTTACAAGCTGAGATGAGATAGCTCTTACATACTCTCTGGTTCTCAAATTGATTTCGAGTTATTATGAATATTTTGAAATCAATTAAACTGCCCCTTAAGTTCATCAATCAAATAAAAATGCATTTATATACTAGATAGAAAGGATCATGCTGCTTATAATTAATCCAAGGAAATACTTTTCATCGTCAAACCTTAGTTCTGATTGAAAACATGATGGCATTTATGACAATGAAAATGAGAAACCGTAGTCGAATAAGAGGATTATATTATTATTATTTGTCTCTTGGATTCCTGGTGGAACACAGGGCTTCACTAGCACGTCTCCATTTCCACTATCTTCTCTGCAATCTTCTCAACCTCGCTCCACAACTGCTCACAAGCTCTCATTTCCTCCTCACACCATCTCCTCCATGTCACCATCACCTCGGACGCCCAACTCGTCGTTTCCCATCTGGGTTCCACTCAAGTGCCTGGCCTCACGCGTCATGTCCTCAGTCGGCCTTCTCACTCCATCTCCAATCAATCTCCACTTCCTTCCACTGCATATTTCTTGAGTGATAGGTTCTTCGTTGCTTTGTTGCCAGTTAACCAGAGTTCCTTGTTGCTTATTCTTATTATTCTGGCCATCTGATCTCATCTTCAGTATCGAGTTAGTGTAGGCAGCTGTTGATGAATATTTCCAGTTTGTTGGAAATGCCTTTCGTAACCCACCAAGTCTCTCAACCATCACACAGAAGCACTGAGTTACTTGACTGACATTAGTGTTGAAAATCCGGATGTTGTTCACGCTTTATGCTGAGTGCAGCAGATCTCCACACTGGTTTCAGGTTAATGAACACCTGTCTCGCTTTTCCAATCGTGGCTTTGACGTCCTCATCTGTGCCTGTGCCGCCTGTAGTTGAAACGATGCTGCCTAGATAGGTGAAAGAGGCTACTTCCTTTAAGTTTCTTCCGTTGAGGAAAGTCTTTATACTTAATTCTGTGTATACATCAACAAAGTAACAGACAGTGGCTAGAAGAGAAACGTAGGACATGAGTTTCCACCTATTTGAGACGCACTATAATATTGTTTCAACAGACTTAAATTCCACATCAATCGTTTCAACTGCTTACCAGGCTACTACGATAACCAGTTGTTGCTCAACGGGTTAAACAGTAATTTCTGGTTTTCGATTTATATAAACTGTACTCATGGATCACTGTTGATATATGGGTTCTTTATGCAAAGCAAAATATATCTAATTGGTGAATTCTGAATGAGGAGAGAACGCGTCTTCTGGATTTCCATATTAGTTGATATTCAATAGAGAGAAAGAGAACTCAGCAAACTTGTGCATGTGTGCTGTAGGCCATGAGCTGCACCTATTGTGTGAGGGTTATTGATAGTACCTGGCTGCTTGAACCTCGGTAGGTGGAGTAGGGTTAGAAGCCATGACTCCCTAGTTGATAGTCATATTCAATAAATATCAAAATAAGATTACCAGCAATATTAAAACACTACCATAAGGAGGCTAAACACAAACTGGTTGAAGGCAATCGGAATGAAGCATTGGACCAAGGTTTGTGTTTGTTGGGACTTATCAGCAAGGTGCATCTATAACCTCAGAGGAATTGATGTCTCTTCAAACACCCGAGCCTGAGACTGAAATCAGAGACCAGTTACTGAAAAGTGAACATTTTTATGGTATATTATAAAATTATGAACGATCTGACAAGTTTTAGGAAGTGTTAAATTACTGTCAAGGCAAAATATGTTTTGATCAGTCATATGATCTTCCAGTACACATCATAAAGCAAATAGTTTCGTGCAGTACCAAGGTACTTAACTGAATTAATGTATCGGTAAGTTACTGAATGGACAAAGCGTGAATTGGTAACCATTTATTTAACTATGTCTGGTTATTCAAACCTTATGCGTTTGTACAAGTGACTTACACAAGACTAAAATTCACAATAAACTGCAGTGACATTCTAGAATGGCAGTCACATTTACAAATATCCTTCAAAAAGCAATGGGATTACAGATGAATTGATTAACAGGGTAGCAACATTCAGCGATATACACTTCTAATATCCATAGTTTTATCCTAACCTATGTACTTGAATGCTGAAACCGCAAAAATAGGAAATCAGTGAGTGATAGTACGACATCAAAAAGTCGCCAGTTTATTCTTATGTCATTTCATGACTTCTTTATAATCGGATTGATTGATCACAGTTACCTGTGTCATCCACTGCCTATAACTACTTAAGACGCCAAAACTTCAACTAAGGGTTTTCAGAAGAATGATATACACCAAAATCACTTTACGTCATATATTGACGTCATTTGGAGAGCTATTAAAAATATGGAAGCACTTGACATCGGTTTAGTCCTAGAGCTTGAAACTCTTGCATAACCACGACCTCAAAAAAGACTGAACCCAGAGCCAATCAAATGTCTTAAACTTCATTTAAATGAAATTAAAAATAATTACGTAAGTTATTTACTTTGAAAAACGAGTGATACACTTAGAAGTTAAATGACTGTTCATTTCAAAGGATTAGATAGAATAATAATCAGTAGACCCAAGACAAGTTTACATATCATATGTTTCTACTAGATAATTGTTTGATGAATGCATAATCGAAATGTGACAAGAAGTTCATCTAAACAAGTGTCTTCAATTCATATCCTTTTTTTACAGTTTCATCACCTAAAATATAAGCCATTAAGTATATGTATAGAGGTCACATAGAGGGGATAATTTGGCAAAAAAATTTCTTTAAATATTTCAAGTATGATAGTAGTAAGTGAACTATGTGTACAAATTTTTCATAACAGTAACATTTCAGGCGGTAACCTTAACTACAGTTAGCACAGATTGATAAAAAGCGTAAACGAAAAGGAACTTGAAGAGAAGACAAGTGAGAATGACCATAAGATACCAACTATCACCTAAAGGATTTCAATGAACGATCTTACATGATATTTTCACCGGAAACCGAAAATTCTAAGGAGACTACTATTATCAAGCAAGCATAGCTATCGAATCTTCTCAGCTCAAAGAGACAAGGTTTTTTACACATTGAGTAAAACTGAATGCAAGATGCTGCAGACTTTGGTTTTCAATAGACAGTGAGAAATCTAATCAATAATACTTCTTCCAGCAGTTACAAAGCTACTAGGATACACGAGGTTTTCGTTTACTCCAAGGGTAAGTACAAGTACAGGTTCTTGTTAGCTTAGCAACGGTACTTTGCACAGCGATGGTCCTAAGCAAATACCATATAGACGGATATTGATCGCCAACAAATTAAGATGTGAGTAGCTGGTATGTAATCCATCATTACGAAGATATTGTACTCTACGTTGAAATGTCTATCTACTGAGAGTGTATCTACACCACCATCAAGGACTTTCAAACTTGTCTGAAGAATGACATTGATGGTTAGGTTAAAGAAGATTGGCAAGATCAGACAAGTTTGTATGATCTCACTACTGGATTGGAATAATGAAGAGAGGTGGTTGTATGCCGCTAATCTACCCTCGTTGCGTCTGCATGGAATCCCCAAGATTTTAACAAATGTCTCGAGGGCAGCTTTGTCTAGTGTAACCTATAGTTTCAGAGGACGGTTCTATCTAACGAATCGAAATACGCATGTCCGAGTGTCTGATGGAGAAGTAACAGGTGATCAACACACCTACAACCTCAGAGCATTACAAACACCAGGAGTGAAAGACATAGGTTTTAGACCAATAATCCAGGTAGATTGTCTCTCGAAGTTGTAACTTACTAGTCTAGAACACTTATATTGTGTGGTAGTCACGAACCATATCTCGCCTACTGAGAGGTTTGAATAGTTAGTTAGGTAGCATTATGAGCCTTTGCAAAATAGGGGAAACTTATAATATTGTGTATGTACATCAACGCAACTTTTGAGTTATATAACAGCTTCTTTGTTCTAACTTTGAAATTATTACACTTCTAGTGTACTATGCAGGGGAAAATGATGAGAAGCCTAAAAAAGATTATTGCAAACTATTGGTAATTTCTTTTTTTGAAAAAAGCTTACAACGTAATATTTTATGCACTGAGTACAAAAAAAATTATGCTCTATAAAAAAAATATTGAAATTCAACAAATAATCTATTCACAAGTGCAAAATTTAGTAAGTTTATTATAGCCTGAGTAAGTTGTTTCCACACTCTCTTAACTATATTGTTTATCATTTTGACTATCTGAGATAGTCGTAGTTTGGCAGACCAGTATTTATACTGGGTGATGATTAAGGGTGAAATGAAAACTTGGACCGTGGCAAAATTCGAACCAGAGACCATTGGATTTCGGGCTCGATGCTCTACCAACTGATCTAGGAGGTTTGACTACTGACCATATTTTTATTTCACTTCAATCATCAAGGGTTTTATCCGACTACCATATGAATTCGTAGCGAACTACTATAGCTTGATCGTACTCACACTGGCTGCCTACTCAGAACTTCTCATCCCAATCCAAGTCTAACTGAATTAGAGAGAGGGGGCATCATACTCATTATCGTTGGAATAAAATTCTGGTCAGCAATCGAACCTGATAGGTCAGTTGGTAGAGCGTTGGGCTGGAAACCCGATGGTCGCTGGTTCGAATCCGATCGCGGTCCAAGTCT